GTAGCAGAAGCAGAAGCAGAAGTAGAAGCAGAGGCAGAAGTAGAAGTAGAAGTAGTGGTAGTGGCAGTGGTAGTCGTAGTTGTAGTTACTGTAGTTGTCGTAGAAGGTGCTGTTGTTGTTGCTGCTGCTCGAGTTGGTGCAGGAGTTGGAAAACATGCTGCTCGTGTCAGTGAACGGAGTGAAGGCACGCCTATTTGCAATTGCCGGTTGTGCGTAGACAGCAAGGCTCCAGCCTAGTGAGGGCAAAAAGACGCTGCGGCTGACGACGAAGAGCCAAGTCTCCGATAAATGCTGGTGATGTTGCAGTCCTCCACTGTAACACTGCGCACGCCCTGCTCTGCAGGTCAAAAACCTTCGACAGGTCATGGACCTCGTGGACACCACCAAAGATGAGTCCTGTGACTGCACTGAGTCGCCCCGGATCCAGCATTCGTTCGTGCTCCGACGGGACGCGAATCAGCTTTGTCGAGAGCTGGCCCAAACTTATGCACGTTCCAGCAACAACCATGAACCTGAGGCCATGTACTGATCCCCTGAGCAAAGTGCTCAAGCTCTGACGGTACCGGTTACCAACGGAGCATCGCGAGCGCGAAGAACCAGCTCAAAGTCTTTGTGAACATCCTCAAAGGGGTGAATCTCAAGACATCAGCCTCTGGTAGCAAACGTTGTACCGCCCCTCGGGGGTGGGCGGGGAGGGGCTGGCTGCGGCTGGCTGTTTTTCATGATGCGCACCCAGGTTCCTCCGCTTCGCGCTGCACAACAACCTTCTCCTGGTGCTCAAGGTCGTTGGGTTATCCGGGCATGTTCAATCAAGAACACAGCGTGACCACCAAGACCAGGGACATTCTCAGAAACATCATTATCAGGTCATCAGAAAAGCTGCAACCACTGCTGCTGCCGCAAAGCCGTGATCATCGTCAAAGCGGTCTTCATAATCAGGACGGTTGTAAAGCTTCATCTTCCAACCATCGTAAGTCTTCCCGTGCTGAAATGTCTATCGGCTGGCATCTTGGCATGCAGCGCCCCACACCTTTGTTCCAGAAAGTCCAGCCACTGCACGAGGCCTTCACAAACAACATCACCTTCACCATTCAGAATACCTCTACCCTCTACCCGAACTGCCCGACATCATTTGCATCAGCATCATCATTTCCATCATCAGCACCGAACATGATCTCGATCGTTCTCGTCGACACAGGCCATAGTTGTTGTTCAGCTTGCAGCCATCATTGTCGTCATGAGCCGTCGTCCTCAGTCACCCGCCAGCCATTACGGATAGCGACCGATCAAATTAAAGTAGCAGTGCCAGTCTCCTTGTCTGAATTCAGGTGGAAAGTATAAGACTATAAGAGCTTACAGCATCCCCCCAAACCTTGTTCTGCGGTGCAAGCAGCAGCCACCATTCAGTGCCTCAGAGCTTCAAGTCCCTGGTGCTGCTTGCACCTTTAGGAGAATGTTCTCCTGCACTTGGTAATTGCTTTGCAGCTCCCGAGATGGTATTAAAAATCCCTGAGGACAGAGTTCAGGGTCTAGTGAAGGCCTCGAAGCATAGAAGTAACATCCCCAAGGTAGCCAATGCCTCTGCTTCTTCAGCGAGCCCTTAGCCCAGACCCTAAAGTGTTTGAATAGGCCCAGCAGCCTTTTAAGTGCACCGGAGCGCAAACAAGGATCCTGTCAACGACAGGCCGATCTCGGCCCAAAGCCTGCAGAGGCATACACTGATTCTCACCGGAAGGAAATACCCAAATCCAACGCCCAAATCAGGGGCCGCAAAGCCCAATGTCCGTGAGGCTCCAAGAGCACCGGGGCCTGACTGGTGGGAATTCCGTGAGCAGAAACTGTTTGGGCGGTTGCCTGCGGTGTCGTCACAGCGGCGGAGTGCTCACACAATGCACAAGGAAAGTTGATTCACCCAAGATGTGCCGCCACCCTGGTGCAAGGTCGCAGAATCTCAGAATAGATTCTCAGGAGCTACACAGGAAGACTCCCCAGACCCTGTGTAAACCTAAAGCCGTAAGCCCGGAACAAGTGCCAAAGCTTGTGATCCCGAACCACCTGGCCGCAGGCGGAGACTGCCAGAAAGGCAACTCCCGAGGCGTGCCCCCAGGGCATCGCAGCGATATTACACTGGAGTGCGGCAGCATATCTCACCTAAACTAACATCCGTCCAGAATACAACGAATGCGTGCTAGTAGTTCATCTTGTTTCATTTGGCACAGGTTCGCTTAGGGGAGCTGGGCGGAGCAGGAATTTGATTGAGCGAGGTTGCTTAAAGTGTCCGAGTAGACAAAGATGGGATTTGGGTAAACAGCTAAGCTTTAGACTTCGCCGCTGGATGTTGCAACAGCCGGTAGTTTGAACCTAGACCTCGCATGTTGTACGAGGACAGGCAAGCTTTAGAGCCATGCAACCCCCACGCCCTGGAGCCTGGAGTGCAAGCCCCAGAAAGCCCTGGAACCCTAAGCTCAAGACCTGAAGCCAAAGCATCCGGTCTGAGCTGTCAGGCCCTTGAGAAGCACGGCATCCCTGCACGAGCCAGCCGGGCACCGAGATCCTACCACGAAGGCAAAACTGGCAACACGAGGTATAGCAAAGCAAAGCCAATCTGTAGTCGTTGAAGGGCAACGGTGGCCGTGGCCGTGGCAGTAGGGGCTGTAGTGGCAGTGGTAGTGAGTGGTAGTGGTACAAGTAGTGGTATTAGGAGCAGGAGGAGTAGCTGTAGCAGCCGGAGTAGCAGAAAAGCAGCAGGAGTAGACGCGGAAGCAGAAGCAGCAGTAGCGTACCCACCCACACCATGCCGCCATGTCTCATGTCAACATGAGGACGAGAAGGATAAGGGAAGTAGCAATCACCATCATATCGCTAGAATCGTCACAGTCCGGTAGAGCACCGCGAATTCTCAATCACCGAAATCATTCGAAACAAGCCACGTTTTGGAAGTTGGTGCTATTCGGACTCGCCACCCCCAAAACCACGACACGAGTTGCGGACGCGGAAAGACAGAAAAAGATTCGAAGCTTGTACTTGCAACAGCACTAAACCCCACACCGGTCACCACACCACCACCACAGCAAAAATTGCCCGATGCCAACCTTTGGATGTTGGTTTGTTCCAAAGCACCCAGGCCCGGAGCTCGCCGAGGATTCCGTGCCAGAAGGATATCCAGCTGGTGTTTTGGGATGAGACTCGTATCCCTTTTTGGGTCCTTATTATAATACGGCACCTATTATTGAGGGTACCCCAAATGGGACCATAATTTTGACAACTACCCGTATAAAGATGTGACTTTGCAGCTGGTAGAGATCAGGATCCTTTGGCATAAGAGAGCCTAAGCCCGAAGCCCTGCTTGGATGCCCAGGGGACTTAGTAAGTCGGTTATAAGTAGAGTTATAATTGGGGTAACTCCATTTAGGGGACTTATAACTCTACTTATAACCTACTTACTAAGTCCCCTGGGCCTCCAAGTGTGGCCTTGACCCTTGGAACTTAAAACTTCGTATGAACTGTGGCCTCAGCTGCAACAGTCATGCTAGTCTGCTAGTGATGGAGCACGAGAGGTAGGAGCGAGGCCCAAACCAGCGGTTGTATTTGCCATTGTCTTAGCAGTAGCACCAGCCGCAATAGCACCAGCCGCAGCAGCAGCAGCAGCGGCGGCAGCAGAAGCAGCAGCAGTCCTGATGGCGAACCGGTTCCGTTTTGACGACAATCCAAATCCAAGCATCAAGGAAGAGGTGCACAGGTCAGCCGAAAGCTCCATGACGAGCCAGTGACGTGTGTGGGAAGTCATGGAAAAACCCGCAGCAGCCTCTGAAGTCTGAAGTCTGAAGTTCTGAGCATGGCACAGCTTCGTGGCTATAGCATCCGACGTCAGGAGCGCCGCCGCCAAACCCGGAGGCAAGAAAGAGCTCAGGGTCACAAGGTTCGGGAGCTTCGCAGCAAAGTTCAGGAGTGGAAGGGAAACTCAGCAACGAAGCCAAAAAGAGTCTGCGGAAGGGTTCTGCAGAATCCAAGAGCCCCGTGGAAGCACATGCTCACGGGGAAGTGGTGCGGAAGAGTTTCGCAAAGGGGATCAAGTTCCTGTAGCTTGTGTTTGTACGCAATCCAAAGCTCAGGAGGGGCAGGGTGGTTTGCAGGGTCCAGCAAGAGTACTGGCAATGCGGTGCTGTCGTTCTCGAGGCCGCGTGACCGCATAGCTTCGTTCATATAAGACGTCAGGTGAGCGGCTGGTGTTGTTTAAGCTGGTTGTGTTGTAGATGATGTAGCTTTGGATACGTATGCAGCCAGGCCGCTTGAGCTCCTGGCAGGCCAAGCCCGCCGAAATCTTCGAAGGTTGAGGGGTGGGCTTCTCTTAGGAGCCTGTCAAGACCGTGGATATGCTTCGGGCTTTTGCAGTTCTCGACCCAGGAGCCGCGTAAGATCTCCTGCCCAGATTCAAATCAGGATCAGGAATGATCCGCCTTGACAGAAGGTCTTTTCAGATCATAGGTTCGAAGGTAGCTTTGCTCGACCTTGCAACTTCCCCCCCCTCAAAGTCTGGTTGAATTCGCCAGGGCCGCGGAGTCGAACAGATGGCGGCCATCCAGCCGGAGAAAAGCTGTTCTGCTCTCCGTTCAGCTACAAGTAGGGTCCCAAAGGCCAAGTGCATGCACAGCAAGGCTGGGTTTTAGATTCCCGACTGGTTGAACAGGCGGCCGCATTGGCGTAGAAAGCCGACCACCGACAGCATAAACCGAAGCACAAAGACCCTTTGGCCTGTCGGACGCCTCATGCAACAGCGGCCACTGCGAGCATTCAGCGTAGCCCCGTTTCTTCGTTGATTCAGAAAGTTGCATTCCATGGAGCCCGATCCGAGGAAAAAGCATCATGATTCGACCATTATGATGAACATTATTGTCCCTCTGCGAGCTATGCGGGATATATACATTCATATATACATATATACATATATACATGTGTGTATATATATATAATATACTTTTGGATTGAGACTTCCCTTACTTGCATTACTTTCTAACAGCAGCCATGGACAAGCACGATGGCGGCAGCGAGACGCAGGAGCTGATTCATTGTGGTGCAGTTGCGAAATAGTTTGAGCTTTTGGTCACGAAACCTGGGCTGTATCGCATGACCTGTTTCGTTCGGACAGGACGAAAGTTCGCCGTCACTGTCGCCAGGCTCCGTGACACATGGTGCATGTCGCTTGGAGACGTTTCACGTGGAGTCACCACGAAGCCCCAACGCGATCCTTTTGCCCCAGGGGCCACATATTTGGTGTTGGTGTTGGTGTTGGTG